TATACCAACATAGATAATGATGTCAACAAACTTAGATGTGTGATTGATGATAGACTATATAGCTATCAATGAGAAAATTGAATTTCCACATGCAAAGGAAGAGAGAAAAGAAGGGAGGCAGGGAGGGGGAGAGAGAGAAAGGATACATGCCACACACACTCCATGCACAAGCAAATTCAAAATGGATTAAGGACCTTTAAGAAACATGAAATTTAAAACTATAAAATACTTAGAAGAAACTGCAGCATGAATGCTTTAAGACCTAGCTTTTAACAATTGATTTTATAATTTAATAGCAAACGTTCAATTAGCAAATTCAAAATAAACAATAGGACAGGTTTTTAATTTTTATTAAACCTTCAGAAACTCTAGGGAACAGTTCTACTCTGCCCTGAAGATTGCTGTGTTAGTCTGGGTATTTTAGAGAAATGAATCCACAGAAACTCATGTATACGAGAGAGTTTTATATAAAGGTTAAGTGCGCATCAAAAAAACATCCCAACCCAGTGCTGCCCAAACCCACAAGTCCAACATTAACCCATTAACCCATATGTCCAACACCAATCCACAAAGTCCTCCTCCATCTCACAAAACAGACGCAATGATGCCAACTGCAGGAGAAAAGCCGAGTCAGTGAATGTGTAAGCATCTCAGTGCTGGCGGAGTCTCCACACACGTGTTCCAGCAGCCAGGGCTGCATCGGGGTAGGTCCATGGCTTCTCCTCAGGGATGTCTTGCAGGAAGTGAACCTTACAGTTGAAGCAGGGAACTGGCTAAGGCAGCTGCACCCTGGTCTGATCATCAGAAAGCAAGAGACCCGAGAACTCGAAAGGCGAGGCTCACTGAGCCATTTTATCCCTCTGCCTTTCAATTAACCCCACATGTGTTTATCGGCCAGGTTGGCACAATAAACTAACAACCTCAACTGCTATTAGGTGAAAGCAACCAGTGCCACTGGGTATGTCCAAGAATAGGTTTCAGAGTTTCTTCTGATATCCAACCTGGGCTTTCCTTTCTTTCCTCTCTTTTTAATAACTTTTTGCTTTCTTCATGTCTGATGTTCTTGATGCTATCCCACTACTCATGTGGTCTTAGTCATGAGTATTCAATGAGTATTCATTGAGATGGTAGGTGTTTGGCTATCATGGATTTATTTCAGTTTCTTCAGCTTCGACTTACACTTGCAAAGGAGCAATTGATGGTTTATTCCAGTCAGGCTTTGGCCTTGTTTTGGCTGATATTGAGTTTCCCGACTGTCTCCTTCCACAGAAGCAGTTGATTTGATTCCTATGTATCCCATCTGGCTGGGGTTCCCATGTAAAATCACTTTTATTGTTGGAAACAGGTATTTGCAATGAAGAAGTTGTTGATCTTGCAAAATTCCATCTTGCAATTTCCAGTTTTATTTCTATCACCAAGGCCATATTTTCCAACTATTGATTCTTCCTCTTTGTTCCCAACTTTCACATTCCAATCTTCAGTAATTATCAGTGAATATTGGTCTAATCAATTTCAAATGGTACAAATTCATAGAATCCTTCAATTTCTTCATCACTAGCTGTAGTAGTTAGCTTGTGAAAACGGACAATAGTTGTACAATCTTGTCTCCTTTATAGGTATAGAGGTATATAGATGTTGTCCTATAATATATGACACTGTACTTTTCAGATCGACCTTGAAATGTTCTTTTTGATGATGAATGCAAGGCCATTCCTTTTGAATTTCATATTTATGGGGTGGGAATGTAAAAAGCTATTTTGCTTGTAGAAACAGTGTGGTGACTCCTCAAAACCTTCAAAGTACAAGTGATCAAGCAATTCCACTCCTAGGTCTACCCCTGAACGATCTGACAACAGAGACAGATGACCAGTGTGCACCACAGCACTATTCACAAGAGCTAGAAGGTGGAAATAATGTAAGTGCCCATTAATGGGTGTGTCAACAAACAAAATGTGTACACATACATATACTGAAGTACTACTCAGTATGAGAAACGAAGACTTGGCATATACTACAATATAGATGGAGACATCATGCTGAGTGAAATAAGTCAATTATAAAAGAGCCAATATAAAATGACAAGAATTGGCAAATGTACAAAGACCAAAGTCGCTTAGCAGTTATCAGAAGTGGGAGGGAGGAGAGAACCATTGCTTATGAAGTGCTATGTTTTGGTTTAGAGTGATAGAAAAATTACAATGAATAAGGGTAGTGTTGTGCAGCCAATTATTGTAATTGCTGTAAATAAATTATCCACCTGCCAAAAGTTTAATTGGCAAAAGTTGTGTGATACATATATGTACCATATAATACATATTACTATAATGTATTTATTTTATAAACAAGGACAATAATAATAATAAAGTAGCTACTGTGGTTGCCTATGTACAACCAAATACCTCAGGGGATTTAGCTCCTTGGTTTTGAGGTTCAGCATCAAAGTTACAAAAGACATCCCAGTAAATTGGCATAATCATATGTTTTATGTTTCTATGCTATCTCCAGGTTCATTGCCTGGGGTCTTATAAGCTAACAGGTGGCCACTCAAGACACACACACACGACAAAAAATGGTCTCTAGTTACTTGTAGCAAGAGAGGAAAAAGGAAAGCCAGATATGGAATGTGGGCCTAATTGCCTCCATGAACTGCTTCCTTTGCCATGAGATCAGGAGAACTAGTTGATACCCAGCTACTCTTACTTAACATTTTAATCAATTTCCAGGGGTAAAATGCAGAACAGGATTTCAAATTCACGGGAACTCTATACTTCCTGGAGCCACAAAGGATGAAAGAACCCCCAACACGACTGCCCTGAGATCACCTTTAAACCTTAACCCAAAAATATGCCCTTAAGTTTTCTTAAAACCAAACATACATAATTTAGCTTAACTAGTTAAAAAAAAAAAGTCTGCCTTAAGCATTATGCTCTTTTAAGAACTATCTATTTGTGACCCAATTTACAAGAATAAATGGAAAGATTAAATAGGAAACAGGGGTAGTGAGTTGATGTTAATGGAGAAGAAAAAACTCAGAAACGGAGGGTGAGAATGGTTTCACACATTGAAAAATATAATCAAGCGGTCATCAAGCTCAGAAGCAAAAAAGCTTGCTTTGGAAGAAGCACATGGAAGAAGCACACCAGCCTATGCGATCACGAGGTGTCGAAGGGATCAGGTGTAAGGCATCATCAGAACAAAAAATCTTACCATAGTGAATGAGGGGGGGAGTGTGGAGTGGAGACCCAAAGCCCATTAGTAGGCCACTGGAGATCCCCTTGCAGAGGGGTCTCGGGGAGGAGATGAGCCAGTCAGGGTGTGATGTAACAATGATGAAAAATACAACTTTCCTCTAGTTCCTAAATGTTTCCTCCCCGCTCCCACTACCATGACTCGAATTCGACCTTGCACGTCTGGGTAGACCAGAGGATGTACACTGGTAAAGATAGTAACTGGAAATACAGGGAATCCAGGGCGGATGAGCCCTACAGGACCAGTGGTGTGAGTGGCAATACAGGGAGGCTAGAGGGAGAGTGGGTAGGAAAGAGGGAACCGATTACAAGGAACTATATGTGACCTCCTCCCTGGGGGATGGACAACATAAAAGTGGGTGAAGGGAGACGTCGGATAGGGCAAGATATAACAAAATAACAATCTATAAGTTATCAAGGGCTCATGAGGGAGGGGAGAGCAGGGAGGATGGAGAAAAATGAGGACCTAATGCCGGGGCTTAAGTGGAGAGCAAATGTTTTGAGAATGATGAGGGCAATGAATGTACAAATGCGCTTTACACAACTGATGTGTGTATGGATTGTGATGAGTTGTATGAGCCCCTAATAAAATGATTAGAAAATATAAGCAACGGCACTGAATTGTGCGGGTAAAAAGTGTTTAATTGGTGAATAATCTTCTGTCTGCATTCTCAACAACAGTAATTAAAAAAAAAAACATAAGGTTGGATTGGGCATTGGACTGTATAGTAGTCAGGGATTATGGCAGCTAGACACTCCTGGCTAGGGGTGGTATCAAAGCTGACAATCAAGCTGTCGACTGATAACCCCTCCTTGCAGTCATAAGCCTTTTGGTCTAATAATGTGAGACAATGGGAATGGCTTTTTCTCTGCTACTTTGACTTCCTCCTGCCTCTGACAAGCTGACATCACCCCGTCATGTTTCCACCGACTTTGAATCCATGTGACTGCACCCACCAACCTGTGATCTTTCTACTTCCTGGTTCATCAATCTGGGTCCCCGGCATGTAGCTACATGGGTGGGATAAGGGACTTCTGGACTTGAGCTAGCCTGAGCTAGGTTGTTGTTGTTTTTCTTGATGTAAAGTTGCTTCTTGATATAAAGTTTTCTTGAACAGAGATGAGTGTCTCTGGATTTGCTTTTCTAGACAGCCTGGCCTAACACAGGCTGCTAACTGCAAATTCGGTGGCTCAAACCCACCAGCCACTCCCTGGGAGAAAGACGAGGTTGCCTGTAAAAATTTACAGCCCTGGAAACCCTAGATAGGGTGGCTGGCTAGGAGTTGGAACCCCCTTGACAGCAGTGGGTTTGGGCCTATTAGAAAGTAAAAGGTTTCAAGTTTTCATGTGCACTTGTCAGGGATCGGCTAAGTTTTTATTGCTCGGTGTTCTTTCCAACTTAAGTCACTGAACTGTGAGTGGGATGCTTTGAAATAGCACGTGCCATCTTTAAATGAACTCTCCGGACTGTAGAGCTTCAGCTTACACAGGGTGCTCTGCTATCTGGGCCGGCGGGAAGCGTGCACAGCAAGCCCGCCCCTGGAGACCACGGGAAGTCACCAGAGCTCACCAGGAGATAACCAGCACAATGAGCTGGCAGGATGACAGGCCGCCCGGTACATTCTTCCCCTGACTCTGATTTGTTATCAGAGTTCAGTGGAAAACACACACTGAGGACAGCAGCAGAGGAAGTGTGAGGCTGCTGCGTTCGTGTGATTCTGGCAGCCAGGGCCCGCTCGCGGAGTCACTCACCTCATAGCCTTTCTCCAGCAGGAACTCAGCCAAGTATGAGCCATCCTGGGGGGTGGAGAGAGAAAGGATAATGTCAGACCTATCATAGCTAACACAGAGGCGGCAGCGACTGAGCATTTTGAGAACAGCATTTAAAGGCCTAAAATGATAACATGATACTGATAAGCACTGCTTGGTGTTCGCTGTTCACAAGGCATTTTCATCAACACTATCACCTTGAAGCTCTACAGCAGGCCAGGAAAGTGCTATCATTACAATCTTCACACACTGGAAAACTGAACTCCAGAGGGGCACTGAGGCTATAGCATCAGGCCGACTTGGGTTTCAGTTGCCCATTTGCCCATTTTCAGTTGCCTACATGTGACACAGAGTCCATAGGAGGTGCAAAGAGCTAAGCACTCAGCCACCAACTGAAAGGTTGCAAGGTTAAGTCCACCCAGAGGTACATTAGAAGAAAGGCTGAGTGATTGACTTCTGAAAACTCAGCCATCAAAATGCTATGGGGCCCAGTTCTGCTCGAACACACAAGGGGGTTAACTCTGCAGCAATGGGAAAGTATGCGATCTATTCACAGCCAGGGTGGGAGGGCAGAAGAACTTTGTACCACCATCACCTACAACTGGACATCATACTGACCTGAGGTTTGTAAAAAGCAACCACCAGGAAAGGATGAGATGAGATGAGATGAGATGAGATGAGATGAGATGAGATGAGATGAGATGAGATGGGAACCAAGGGACTCAGGGAAAGAAAAGGTATGAAGAGAAGGCAGAGAACTCATTGAGAAAGACAAATGTGGGCTTGTAGGGTGCTGGGCGATGAAAGCTGGATAGGACTCCCCATAGGCTTCTAACCCAAGAATGTTAACTCAATTCCAAACCTACAGGTCATCAGTTCTAACCTACTCAGTGGCATCACAGAAGAAAGGACTGGCAAGTGGCCTACATAAAAATTACAGGCAAGAAAGCCATATGGAGTACAGTTCTACCCTGTAATCTAGACTCACCATGAGTAGGCATCCATGTGCAGGCACCAAGCTTGATTGTTTTGTACAGAGTAGGGGAGGTGACCGTGGTAAGAATAGAGTCATCATCGCTGACTAGGGTGCACACGCATACTCTTTACAGAAATGGAAGAGGGGTATTTTTTTTATTGGAAGGCAATTTTTTGTATTAATTTTAAATTGCACAGCTAATGCCTCCATTGAGTATCTGACTAAATACGGAGATTCTCTGGTTTTAAATAAACCTTAGAAATTCTCTGGCTAGGGGTACGTCCTTAAACTGAAATATTCCATGAGCCCTGTCTGAGGAAAAGGAAGCGTTAAGAATCAACCAATGAAACGATAGGAAAAAAGGTCAAAAGCTGAGCACTCACTGTTCTAGGAGGTGCCAGTCAGAAAAATATCTCAGTAGGCACTTTACCAAAAAGCCCGGTGGTACCATGGCTAACCATTGGGTAGCTAACAGAAAGGCTGGCCTTTCTAATCCACCAGCTGCATCATGAAGAAGAGATCATCTGCTTCTATATATATTACAGCCATAGAAACCCTGCAGGGTGGATCCACTCTGTCCGACAGGGTCACCATGAGTTGACACTGACTGCACACAGCTGGTTTCAGCATCTTATAATCCATCCTGCATTGCTCTTCTGTTCTCAGGCTGGGCAGGAGCCCGCCATCCCACCCAGACAGCAACATAAAATTGAGAGGTTCCAACTACGGAGATGTGTGTCCTCAAAAGGAATGGGAAATGTCTGTTTTCTTCCACTTCTTCAGGTCACAACGCTGAAAACAAATATCCCTTTTGCACTTCCGAAGTTGCTTCCAGATATTCCCGGAAAAAAGAAGCAAGGCTTATTACACTATCACGACTTGACCTGAAAAGCGAGACGCTAGAACTGGAGATGCCCTGTGGGTCCTGAAAATGACCCACTGCCAAGCATGTGCTCACGACATGGCTGTAAAAGCCACGCATCAACCCTGGCAGAGTGACAAGGTAAAGTATGCAAGGGACACATTAAAACTTCCAGCAGATTTTCTTCTGCCTTCTTGACATCAGTATTCTGGTTTGCAGACTCATGTGGAGAAGAATAGGAAAAGCGTGTGTGTTCCTTTCCCTCGCAATCTTGGGCTACACACACAGTTGCATGGTTTTTACATACTCGATGTCTAAACTAAATCAAGTAATGACAAGCCAGGCAGCCCACACTACCATCGGAAATGTTAGCACAAGTGGTGGTCCTATAAATTAAAGGGATAAGAAAAGAGCTCACAGATAAATCATCTGCAATAATAGCAATAACAATCATTATTATTTTATAGGAGGTAGGAGCCCTTGAAAATGCATGGCTTCCGGTTGTATTATTTTCTTTTTAAAAGCACTCATTTTTTAAAATTCTCTTGGAATCAAGAGTCGGGAATGCTTTGTGTTCTAGTAGCACCAAATGTGTGTTTTTACTTTAAAGGCAAAGGTGAAAATTTAGAGATGGGGACGGGGAGCGGAGGGGGCGGGCAGTGTTTGGAGGGAGACTGATTATTTAGAAAGTTGATGTGAAACAGGCCTGCCCAGGACTGAACCCTGTCAATAAGGTCTTGTTCTTCTCACCCAGGCCCTTCTCAAACTTTCCAACCACGCTGGAACATTCTGAACAAGCAGGGTACTCACTTCCTCCGCACTTCCCTGCCAGGCCTAGGGAGTGATAGCCAGGCCTCACAATGAGTAGGAAATTGGCCATGCTGTCTCCTGGTTTCTGACTTTCACTGGTCCTTTCCCTGTGCCCCCAAGGTGACTCCAGGGAGAGATACAGTATCTGCAACAGCCCAGCTTTTGCCAAGACCGATGGCTGCTGTTTCCACCTCCCTTTCAGGAACAGTGACTGCTAGAGAGGCCCTTCAGCAGGCCAAGGACTAAATTGTCATGGCAACGAGGGGCTGTGGCTGATGCTCAACTCTGCGACTCCTGTTCCAGAAATGATGGAACCAGTGGTCCAAGTGTCCAACTCCCCTGCTGTGGACATATTCATCTGGTATTCATTTCAGCATGGTTTCCAATCCTCCTTACAGAAAATGTCTTCACTGGAGAGACACGCACTGGAGGCGCTCCTCACTCCCTCCTGGGAGGATACTCACCTATGGCATAGCAGTGTCGCACGGGAAGTTGGTAGCACGGCTTTAACATTTTGAGGCATACCCAGAAATCCTTTTCTGGGAGGCTAGCAGTCACACGCCAAACCAGCACCAGAATCCAAGTCTCTCGTGATTTTGAACGAGAATATCACCTCCTTCTCCTCAAACTGCCATGTCGGGGACCTCACAAAACAGGTCAACCCAACAAAATAATAAAAGAGCATCAAGGGCTTGCTTTTACACCAAATTGATCGAGTCATTTTCCATAAAAGGCGATTCTGTGAATCACACAGGGCTTCCAGTTTTAATTAAGTGATCCAAACCCAGAGAAGCCATGTAAGTTTAGACGACTCCAGAGCTCAGAGGAGGGAGAAAGGACGCGGGCCTCAGGTTTCCCAGGTTGTTGCTTCCCCTGTGGCCCAAAGGACCAGGTTGGCGTTTGCCTGACACTTCCAGACCTGATGCTTGGCAGGTTCTGGGTCTTCAAAGGAAAGGGGGATGCAGAACTGCTCCAGACAGAGACATCTCAAAATGAAGCGTGATTTCAGAAATTAATAAAATTGTATAACTTATAATACGAAAATTATGCCTAACTCCTTATCTATGAAACGCTGGTAAAGACATAGAAAGTTCCTTCTTCTTCCAGAAGGCTGACAGAGCAGCACTGATCAGTGCTCGAATCCATCTTTGAGAGCAAACATATCTGTGAGTCAGTCCACTAGACGTAGAGAAGACAGACAAGCATCTCCTTTCCCTCTCCCAGTATGGACTGGTATTCTAGACCATGAGGGAATTCAACTCTTGGACGCAATGTGAGACCTGCTTCTCTGAGGTGCATGATAAACATATAGTTGATTTCTGCTTGAGCACCTCTTGGCCACATCTTAGAACAGGATAAGTGTCTAGCTAAAGAAATCATGCCACTGGTAAAATGAAGCCTTTGTTTCCATCATCTCAAGCATTAGGAAACAGACTACACGTTCGGTCAGAAAAGAAAGACCAGACCAAGCTCTTTCAAACTATTCAAACTACACTGCCTTCCAAACTATTAACTCGATCCTAATGACTCTAAAGCCAAGCATGTTTCAGCTAATCACGGTTACAATACAAACTCTTCTGCACCTCAATATAAACACCCGAGTGGTTAGCACAGGCTCTGTGCTAAGTCAGAATGAAAGCTTCTAAGGAATCAGTTACAGGGGCGTGGAGGCTGTTTGCTATACAAACCACGGATAGACTGCCAGACCCACTGAATTAAAAAGACCAGTGAGTTAATTCATCCAACTCTCTCATTCTACTCATGGAGGAAACCGAGTCTCAAAGCAGTTAGCATACAAGTCACCAGTTAGGTAGCTTCAGAATCTGCATATACACAAAATATCAGGCCTTCCCACACTTCAGCTGTTTGCACTAAACACTCTTGAGAAAAATGTCTAAAACAAAGTTATTTGTGTTAGCTGCTGTTGAGCCAGTCCCCAACCCTTTGACACACAAAGGGTTATCATGAGATGAAACTGATGCCAAAGCATTGGTGGTTTTTGTTGTAATGACCGTTTACAAATAAAATAATATAATGAAAAGCAATTACAAAGTATTATAACGAAAGGTGCAAAGATCTAAATTTAGAAAACCAGAAAGAACATGCTCAGTATACATCAAGCTGAATGAACTGAGGGGGAAAAAATCAAGCTTCAAGTTACAATATTAAAAGATTCTATGGGCAAAGCATTGAACAATGCAGGCAGCATCAAAAGAAGAGGGAAGGAATACACAGTAGCAAGGAGAACGTCTGCAATCAACCATTTCAAGAGGTCACATATGATCAAGATCTGATGGTACCGAACCGAAGGAAGTCCAACCTGCACTGAAGACATTAGCAAAAAACAAAGCTACAGGAATTGATGACATATCAATTGCA